CCCCCCGCCGCCGCCGCCGCCGGCGCTGACGAGGCATAGTGCTGCAGCAGGCGCCACGAGATCTGCTCCATAACCTCGGGCTCCACGAGGGCCATGTTTTCGATGATTACGAGGTCGGCCGCGTCGGGCAGCGCCACCTCGACGCACATGCCGTTCGCGATGGCCGATGGCGTTGCGCCGCCCAGGCCTGCACGGGAGCGACGCATATGCAGCGCCGTTTGTTGGCGCGCACCAGACAATTCACTGGGCGCCAAGCTGCGACGCTGACTATTTTGCGCGATCGCGCCTCCTGCGACTGACTTCACTGAATATGTTGAAAGCGAAGTCCAACCCACAATGTGGTGCACCTGCTCACATTGACTCACACACCTGCCCCTCCGGCAACTGTGGAGGCTCTGAAAAATCCGCCGGTGCACAAAAAACCAATCCCGACCCCATTCCCCATTCACGCGCCCTCGATCGAGCCCGCGCGCGCCAGAGCCCCTGCGTCGCACCCACCCGCGTTGACTAGCAGGTGGTCCGGGTGAGGCCACGTCTCGTTGACCACCCGCATGAAGTATGTGAGCCACCCGGTCTGGACCCAGGCCGGCCCACCCTCGCCGGTCGCGCCGCCGTATATGTGGGGGTGTGGCGACGCGACGGCGGCGCGCAGCTGCCCGAGGGACGCGTGGAAGCTGCCGCCGTGGTCCTGCACGACCGAGGAGCCGAGGGCGGCGACGGTGATGGGCTGGCCGGCGTTGAGCTTATCCAGAAGGTGGCGCATCTGGTCGTAATTTCCGGCGCCGACGGAGTGGGAGAGGAGGCGGCGGTCCCAGAAGCGCGCGGCGCCGTCGGGCGGCTCGACCTCGCCGCCGCGCGCGTAGCGCCATCGGTGCGGCTGCCACGGTAGCTTCGGGGCGGGGCTGTGACCGGATGCGGCGCGTGATAAAAGGGATATCACGAGGAATACTATTGCGGTCGTGGGCTTATAGCGCGTGCTGCGAAGTGCTTGCATGGCCTCGACGCGGGGCCATCACTGAGAATCGTGATCAGCGCTCATATAAATGCGTCAATAAACATTTTGTGCTAGCTTCATGCGTTGTTTGAACCCTAGAATAGCATGGCTAGCAAACCACAAAACCGTCGCGAGCCGCTCCTCCTGCGTGCACGGTAATACTCGGCAAGAGTACGCTCAATATTATGTAGAACTGTTGGTCTGAGCCGGATTATTCCACACTCACTGCAGACCTGGGCTCGTGTGCGCGCCTGAATGCACACACCAGGCTCTGCGTGCATGTGTTGTGCGCTCGAGGCGAAGCACCGCTGAGGAGCAGGCACTGGCGAAAGGCGAATTACACAGGCACTCAACAGAAACCACAACATGCTCAGTCGCGCCGCACCACGCGCCGTCGCCGTCGCAGCAGCGCCGCAGCCAGCGCCCCCGGCGCCGCCGCCAGCGGCGTGCGCCCCGCGCCCCTGCGCGCCGCCGCGCACGCGCACGCGGCGCCGCCCACCACGGCAGCCGCCAGCAGCCACCCGAGGGCGCGCGTCGCGGCCTCGCGGCGCCGCCGCGCACGGTGGGCGCGCCGCTTCGCGTTGCCCACCCTGAAATGGTCCGTCTTCCAGCTGTTGTTGTACATGTGATACACAAACGATGCGTTAGCATCTCGGCTCCAAAACCTGCGGGCGTAAGATCGCAGTGTTCTCAAAACAACTTTCTTGAGCAAAATGCATACTTATTTGGCTTGCACAGGCGTGCGAGGTAGGCAGCAAATGAAGGGCCAGGGGCAGCAAGGACGATCTACCAAGGCAGCAGCGCCGTGCACCCAGGTCTGAGCGCACACGTGCCACGCGCCCGTTAACTTCTGCGCCACCCGCAGGATACCCCGCCGGACGCGGCGCTCTGAAGCGTGCACACGCCTAAAATGCGCGCCTGACGTTGCAGCCGAGCGCCAGCTGGGGCAGGACGATGACGTCAGCGGCGCGGCCCCCGAGCACCAGGGCCTCCGGAGTCGAGTTCGACTCCCGCAGATGCCTGATATTTTGGGGGGGGAGCATAATGGTGGGGAAGGTGGGGTTAGGTGAGGGCTGGTAGGGGTGCGTTTTTACGGGCCGCGGCGGACGTTGAGAGATAGAGTTGCCTTGCTGAGCAGAGGGTGTTCTGGGTTCAAGGGGATTGGCGGCATGAAGGGTGTGTGGGGGGAACGGAAGGTGCGGGTCACAAGATGAGAGTGGGAGGGCGGGAGGCTTTCGCTGGGGGGCAGGGTGAGCCGGGGTGACGGTGGTGGATCGCTGGGAGGACAGGGGGCAGG